GTGGCCATTTGGGGAATGAATCAGTGGATAGATTTTCTCTAACTATCCTTATCTATATATATAAAAACTTTCAAATAAGGATAAAAATAAATCTTTAAAAAGGCCCACAAGGGCCTATGGCGGTGGCCTAGTGGCTAAAGTCCTCGCCTTGAATGCCCCAGGATCCCATATGCGCTCTGGTTCTAATCCCAGCAGCCCTGCTTCCCATCCAGCTCCCTGCTTGTGGCCTGGGAAAGCAGTGGAGGATGGCCCAAAGCCTTGGAGCCTTGGAGGAGGTTCCTGGCTCCGGATCAGTGCAGTACCGGCCATTGTGGTCACTTGGGGAGTGAATCAAGGAATGGAAGATCTTCCTCTCTGTGTCTCCTTCTCTGTATATCTGACTTTGCAATAAAAATAAATCAATCATAAAAAAAGCCCCACAAAAACACAGGGGCTGGTGTTATGCATAGTGGACTTACCTGCTGCTTGTGATGCTGGCATCCCATAACGGACGGCTGGTGTGGGTCCTGTGTGTGCTTCACTTCCAATCCAGCTCCCTGCTCATGTGCCTGAAAAGGCAGCAGATGATCCTGCAAATGCTTGGGCTCCTCTTGACCCAAGAGGGAGGCCTGCCAGAGATCCTGTTTGCTAGACTTCAGCTTGGCCGAGTCCTGAGCTTTGTGGTCATCAGGGGAGTGAATCAGTGGCTGGAAGATATGTCTCTTTTGAATAAATGAATAAATCTTATTTAAAAAAAGAGAATATATTTAAAAAAAAGAGAATATAAACATACTGAACTCCCATGTTACAACATGAGACCCTCAAGTTGAATCAAAAAAAGTTTATATATATGGCATTTATTAGAGTAATACCAATGAAATGGCACAGAAAACTGGATAGGAAAGGAATAGAAATTATTTATTTATAAATAATCACCTTATTTTACAAATATATATAAAGTGCTTATGATGTTTGAATTGCTTTAAAATATTTTAACTTTTGGGGCATTGTATGATAGCCTAGAATTTAAATTCTCACCATGCAACCACCAGGATCCCATATGGGTGCTGGTTCATATCCTGGCTTCGGATCGGCTCAGCTGTAGCTGTTGAGGTCGCTTGGTGAGTGAATCAATGGATGGAAGATCTTCCTCTCTGTCTCTCCTCCTCTCTGTATACCTGACTTTGCAATAAAAATAAATAAATCTTTAAAAGAGAGAGAGAAACAGGCCATCACTGAGGTTCTAACCAGGGGCTTGAGGGAAGAAACAAAAGCTGCACGCATCAACAGGAGTAAATCTTTTAAACAACCTGAAGTGCAAAAAAAGCACACTGCAAAATGAAAAGGACAATATGTAACACATTGCTTATGGATACAGACATATGTTGTATTAAGTCCTATAAGTGGTAATATGTACTCTTTAAGAGCATTCAGGTTGTTGGCATTGTAGCGGAATAAGTTAAAACTTCCACATGTAGCGCTGGCATTTCACAGAGGCATCAGTTCCAATCCAAGTTGCTCTACCCCTCATCCAGCTCCTTACTTAGGGTCTAGAAAAGCAAGGGAAGATGGCCCAAGTGCTTGGGTCCCCGAACCCACAGGTTGTGGCCATTTAGGGATTAAACCAGCAGATGGGAGATCTTTGCTTCTATTACTCTTTCTCTGTAACTGTGCCTTTCAAATAAATAAAAATAATTCTTTTTTTTTTTTTAAGATTTATTTATCTTCATTGGAAAGGCAGATACACAGAGAGGAGGAGAGACAGAGAGGAAGCTCTTCTGTCCGATGATTCACTCCCCAAGTGGCCACAACAGCTGGAGCTGAGCCAATCTGAAGCCAAGAGCCAGGAGTTCTTCCAGATCTCCCACATGGGTGCAGGGTTCCAAGGCTTTGGGCCGTCTTCAACTGCTTTCCTAGGCCACAAGCAGGGAGCTGGATGGGAAGTGGCGCTGCTAGGATTAGAACCTGGGTCCATATGGGATCTTGGTGTGTTCAAGGCAAGGACTTAAGCTGTTAGGCTATCACGCTGGGCCCAGCAGCTCTACTTCTCATCCAGCTTCCTGGCTGTGGCCTGGGAAAGGAGTAGAAGACAGCCCAAAGCCTTGGCAGCCTGCACCCACATGGGAGACCCGTAAGAAATTGCTGGCTACTGGTTTTGGACTGGTTCAGCTCCAGCCATTGCAGCTACTTGGGAAATTAACCAGCAGATGGAAGACCTTTCTATCTCCTTCTCTCCATAAATCTCACTTTCCAGTAGAAATAAAATATGTTTTAAAAATGAATATTCAAAGGAAGAATAAGCATTATATGCAGGCATAGGAGTACTTCTGAGGAAGGAAGGAAATGAGCTTAGGGAAAGACTTCAAACTGGATTTATTTAAAAACAAATATAAATGTAAGGTAAGTAAATACAGAGCTTAACTACAACAGAGCTTACCACTTGCCAAAGCCAGGAGCTCATCCCGCTTCAGCAGGGGCCCAGGCACTGGAGCTATGTGCTGCTGCTTTCCCAGTCCAGGAATAAGCACCCATATGGGACGCCAGCGCTGCCACCACGCCACCACAAGGGCCCTACTCCAATTCTTTTCAAACACAAGGCAGCAAACATGACACTGTTCTGAGATTCACCCTTTTTGCTTAACAATATATCTTGATTTTGCTACATATTAACACGTAAGGGGTTTCCTCATTCAATTTTAAAACTACACAATATTTTTTTGTATGGTTCCAGCAGGCATTTTGAAACAGTTTCCTATATAGCATGCAGCAGGGCCAGGGTGGTAGTCCAACGACTAAAGCCTTTGCCTTGCATGCATATGGAAGCCTTGAATCCATATGGGTGCCTTTTTGTATCCTGGCTTCTCCACTTTCCATCCAGCTCCCTGCTTGTGGCCTGGGAAAGCAGTGAAGGATGGCCCAAAGCTTTGGGACCCTACACCCACGTGGGAGACCTAGAAGCTCCCTGACTCCTGGCTTGGGATCAGCTCAGCACTGGCCATTGCAGTCACTAGGGAATGAAGTAGTGGATAGAATATCTTTCTGTATCTCCTCTTCTCTGTAAATCTGATTTTCCAAAAAAGTATATCCTTTAAATAGCATGCAACCCATTTTTATTCCTTGATTACAAACAGCTTCTCAGCAGTTGAGTGTCCTCATGTCACTCTGCTTTATGGCAGGTGCAGGAGAAACACTGGGTCTTTTTCAGAGTCCTCCAAAAGATTCCAGTAACCTTCATGCCAACATTTCCAGTGCCTGTTCCCTAGTCACACGCAACACAGCTGTATCACCAGAATTTTTTGAGCTGGGTAACTATTGTATCCCATAGCAATTTTAATTTGTACAGCTTAAAATTAATATGATAGGGCCTAGCACCTAATGTGCTCACCTTGGACACGCTGGGATCCCATATGGGCACCAGTTCTGATCTTGGCAGCCCTGCTTGCCACCCAGCTCCCTGCTTGTGGCCTGGGAAAGCAGTTGAGGACGGCCCAAAGCTTTGGGACCCTACACCAGCATGGAAGAAGCTCCTGGTTCTTGGCTTTGGATTAGCTCAGCTCTGGCCACTGAGGTCACTTGGGGAGTGAATCATACGATAGAAGATTTTCCTTAAAAAAAGTTTTTTTAAAAAATGAAATTGATGAAACATTAATGGAATGGAGCATCTTTTTAATATTGTAAAAAGCCATTCTGACTATCTCCTGCTATTTTCTGTCACCTGTTGAAGCAAATGAATTTTGAAAGGTTTATTTTTATTGCAAAGTCAGATATACACAGAGAGAAGGAAAGAGAGAGAGGAAGATCTTCCTTCTGATGATTCACTCCCCAAGTGACCACAACAGCCAGAGCTGAGCCGATGAATCCAAGAGCCAGGAACTTCCTCCAGGTCTCCCACGTGGAGCAGGGTCCTAAAGCTTTGGGCCGTCCTTGACTGCTTTCCTAAGCCACAGGCAGGGAGCTGGATGGGAAGTGGAGCTGCCGGGATTAGAACCGGCGTCCATATGGGATCTTGGTGCATTTTAGGGGAGGACTTTAGCTATTAGGCCATCGTGCTGGGCCCAGAAGACTTTCCTAAAATTGAGCTTCTAGAGCTTCTTCCCTTTGGCCAGAATCTTGTTTGGAGTTTCATAGTAGCCACTGGGCACTGCACGAGTGTCAACTTTGCCCACTTGAATGTCACGTGATGATTATGTAGGATTTTAGTCTCTGGGACACAGGGTGAAGATGCACAGGATGCTGGGCTATTTTTGAGACTTCCTGTCAGTCTGGGGTGAGGGAGCCGGGACAACATGTGATCTTCACAGGTCTGCGGATTCTGCCGATCTCCAGTCACAATTCTGAGCGCCGACAGCTGCAGGACACCCGTGGCAGGGACACGACACTTGGAGCACAGGGGCAGAGGTCACTCTCAGCAGGGAGAGACCCTGGCCGTCTCCCCGCTAGGGTTCAAGGTCAATCAGACGCCTCACACTCAAGCTCACACCTCCCTGTGTTCCCTCATTTGGGACATCCTTACCCGGCCACGTGCTCACTTGCCTAAACACCCGTTCCCACTGCACTGCAGGCCCCTCAGGGACACGGCCTCTGGTCCCAGTTCTCTACAATCCGAGTACCTAGCAACAACGTGACGGAGCCCATATGGGGAATAAAACACCTGCTGAAGGAAGCAGTCAGGCCAGGGCCCTGCCGGCCTCTTCCACGGTTCAGGCTTTCTCGCCCGGAGCCAGGTGCCTGCCCCATACTTCGCCTCCGGAGCGGGCGTTCTCAGGGACAGAGGCGACAGTGGCTCCTGCAGACAGCGGCAGGAGGGACCCGGCTCCGAGCCTCGCGCGGGTCGGCTGCAGGAGGACGAGTACGAAGCACTGGAATTGCAACCGCGACAAACTCAGGAACGCGTACCTGGCAGCGCCCGGTGACGTCACAGGGTCGCGACGCGTCCGACACCACCCGTCACGGGCATGCGCAGTGCGCCCGCAGCGCGGCGCGGACCGTCAGGCACTGCGGCAGGCGTCCCGGGGGCCAGCAGGACCGTGACCCCAAGATGGCGGCGCCCAGCGGACCCGGCGCGGCCGCCTCCTGCCAAGGCGACGGCGGAGGTGGAGGCGGCGACTTTGGTCCGTGGCTAGATGGACGGTTGGAGGCGCTGGGAGTGGACCAGGCTGTGTATGGCGCCTACATCCTTGGGGTCCTGCAGGAGGAGGAGGAGGAGGAGAAGCTGGACGCTCTGCAGGGGATCCTGTCGGCTTTCCTGGTGGGTTGCCCCGCCGTTCCTTTAGCCTCGGGCACGCCTCTCAAAACCCTGTTGGCACTGTGATCTTCCCTGCCCTTGCCCGCTGTCCCGGGAGTTTCGACGTTTTCCCTTGACGAGCTGTATCCGTGCTCTGGGCCGCCAGGGAGAGGGCTTGTCCCCTAGGATTGGGGCTGCAGGTGCATAGCCATGAATGAGCTTCCCCTAGTCCCGGGCACGAGGCCCTCTCCGATGCCGGCGGGTAAGATGGGGGGCACTGCTGTGAAAGGTGTTCATATGGCTAATTGGGAATCTTATCCGTCAACTTGTAACGATTATACATGTCCTTTTACAGTGTGTGGTGTAGGCAATAAGATGAGCTTGGGATAGCTGTTGCCATCACGAGGTAGCGCCTGGAGACAGGAGTTTCTAGAAAGTACCCTCTCGGTGCACGTTTCTGAGGTGGCAGTCCGGAAAATGTAGGTTGATGAGGTTTTCACATCTAAGCCAAAGTGGAGCAAATGGTCTTGATCTATTACTGTATTTAAAAATGTGGGAACAAACTAGAGTGGGCGGGCTAGGGAAAGAGGATGAGATTAAGAGAGGAACTTGGTCTGTAGTCTCCTTAAAGCGGGATGAGAGTTTGGGATGTGTACTTTGCAGCTTTGTACATTAAGACAATATTCAAGTGTGATTTTTTTTTCCCCTGCCACTTCCTCTTCATTTCTTTCACCCCCCAGACACCATTTTAGGTTGGTTGTTACAGGTTAGATTGGTTACAAATGCGGCCTTACAGATTGTTGCCTAATGACAGGCTCCAGGATGAAACCTGCTTGGTCATGGAACATTGTAGCACCAAGAATTGTTCTTCCTGGAGAACTCCAGGGAGGTTTGCTCCTGGTCAGAGGTCTTCCCCTCTGTCCTGTACCAATGAACATATTGGAGAATGGTCCATTTGTTGTCCTTCAAACCTGTTTTCAAACTGGTATCATGACATAGTGAGCTAAACTGCCACTACAGCACTGGTGTCTCATACAAGTTTGAGTCACAGCTGCTGCACTTCCAATCCAGCTCCCTGCTAATGTGCCTGGGAAAGCAGTGATAGGTGGCCCAAGTGCCTCCTTGAGCCGCGATACCCAAAATAAGTTTAAAAACCGATTTTTAAAAAGACTTATTTTATTTCTATTGCAAAGTCAGATATACAGAGAGGAGGAGAGACAGAGAGGAAGATCTTCCGTCCATTGATTCACTCCTCAAGCGACTGCAATGGCCAGTGCTGTGCTGATCCAAAGCCAGGAACCAGGAACTTCCTCCAGATCTTTCACATGGGTGCAGGGTCTCAAGGCTTTGGTCCGTGCTCGACTGCTTTCCCAGGCCACAAGCAGGGAGCAGGATGGGAAGTGGGGCAGCCGGAATTAGAACCGGCGCCCATATGGAATCCCTGCGCGTGCCAGGCGAGGACTTTTAGCCACTAGGCTACCGTGCTGGGCCCCAAAAACCAATTTTTTAAAAGGTATTTACTTGTTTGTAATGGAAAGTGAGATATATGGAGAGGAGGACAGACTAAGAGGAAGATTTCTTGTCTACTAATTCACTCCCCAAGTGGCTGCAATGACTAGAGCTGAGTTGATCCAAAGCTAGGAGCTTCTTGCAGGTCTCCCATGTGGATGCAGGGTCCCAAAGTCTTGGGCTTTCCTCTGATGCTTTCCCTACAGGCCACAAGCAGGGAGCTGGATGGCAAGCAGGGCTGCAGGAACATGAACCGGTGCTCATATGAGATCCCAGCAAGTGCAAAGCAAGGACTTTAGCCACTAGGCAACCATACCAGACCCCCAAAAATTCTTTAAAAAGATTTGTGATTTGTTATTGAAAAGATTTACAGAGAGAGAGAGAGAAAGATATTCCATCTGCTGGTTCACTCCACAAGTGTCTGCAATGGTTGGAGCCGAGCTGATCTGAAGCCGAGTCCTAACCAGCAGCTTCCAGGTCCCCCATTCAGGCATAGGGTCCCAAGGCTTTGGGCTGTCCTCTACTTTTCTTCCAGGCCACAAGCAGGGAGCTTTGAGAAAGTGGAGCAGTTGGGATACAAACCGGCACCTGTGTGGGATCATGGAACATGCAAGGCAAGGATTTAGTCACTGGGCTACCACACTGGATTCCCCCCAAAATATTTTAAATGGTTTCTGCTGTATTTCTTTCCTTACAAAGTATGTACAAAGTATGTAATATCCCTGTTTATGCAAAGTACCTGTGGATCCTCTTAAAAGAGGACTGTAAATAGTTCTTGAAACTCAAATTTTCATTTTTGAAAGCTTGTTTATTTATTTGAAGAAGACAGTGACAGAGGGAAAGAGAGAATTCCCATTTGTTGCTTCATTCCTCAAATGGCTACGATGGTTCAAGCTGGGCCAGGCCAAAGCCAGAATCCTTGACCTCGGTCTACGTGGGAGAGACCCTACTACCTGACCTGTCACCTGCTGTGCCAGTCGGAGGCTGGAGTCAGGAGCCAGGGTGGGTGTGGAACCCGGGGGCATGCCGTTGGGCGAGTGCCCTGCTGTCCCTGTAGATATTTTCTCAAATCCCAGTGTTTTATGCAGAGAGGCTATGTTGGGACAGTGTCATTTTGACTTGGTGGAAGCGCAGATCATGGATTATATACTTGGTTGAAATATGATGCCAGTGCAGCTATGCCAGGTCTGTCTGTCCCAGAGCCTGCCCTTGCCTGTAGATGGGGACGTGTTAGGCAGCTTGGCAGGCGGTGGAAATGCAACGCAGTGGAATAAATGCTTTTCTTGGAGCCTGACATTTCAGGTAATAGTGGCGAGGGCTGGGGAGGAGAAGGAACCAAACTTTTTTTTTTTTTTAATTTCCAGGTGAGAAGTCTCTGAAGACTCCCCGAAAGAGTTAAAATAGCTTCCATGCTCATTGTCAAGTCCTTTCCGTATTGTCATTCTTGGCCACTAGATGTCAAAGATATGCAGGAGTTGACCGAGACTGTTACTAGTCTCTTGGTAGAAAAGGCAAAGTCATCTAGATGTAGATTTGGTTTTTGATAGCTTCTTCTTGTTGCATAAACTGGAGGAGGAGACAAGATCATTTCACGAGACTGCCTCCCTCCCCTGTCCCATTCGCATGCCACATGTTCTCATCCTTTGCTCAACCCCTGCTATGTGGAAAAGGACCCTGGGGAGGACTGGTCAGACACTACACGATGGGGCAGTGTCTTTCCAGATCAGCAAGGGCCATTGGGTATATGCTAGGCACAATTCAAGGAGCTGCTCTTGGTCGGTCAGCTGACCAGCTGGCTGCAGGTGCTACCAGGAGCCTGGAGTTGACCCAGTCCCTCTCTGGGAGTGACAGAAAACATAACCAGATCACTCCCCAAACTTCATGGGATGCAGCCTTCGGAACAAAATATCTGAGAGCAAGCGCTTGAGGGAAGAGCCAAGAGTGGTGGTTTGTGGTCAGGGGCGAGGACCAGCCTGCAGATGCTTTCCGTGAGCCTCTATGTTTTGATTGGCAGCGCCTGCCCTAGGTAACTGGGTCTTCAGTCTTCAGGGTCTTACTGTGGACTGGTGTCTAACAGGCACCGCCCTGAGTGCTTGGTGTAGCTCCTGGAACAGGACTGAGGTCCCCGCCAGCATGGCTGGCACAGGCAGGGCTTGCAGGTGACGACAGTGGAATGTTATCAGAGGATTGGCAGTGGAGTGGGAATGGAGGAGAAGCTACAGCTCACGTGGCAGTTTCTAGCAGCTCTCTCCATGCTGAGTCATGAGGCTAGACACTGTATTTTAATTCATTCCTCTGCTCTTGTCTTGGTACCATAACTGTAGCAGGCATCTGCTGGGTGAAGTTCTGAAGGGGATAGATGATTGATTTGCTTTGGCTTGGGTGAGGATACTAGAGGAGTGAACCACTTAGTTCAGGAGATGGGCTCACAGTTAAGAATGGGGGCGGGGACGGGCGTCTGCTTGAGTTGAAAGCCTGTTTAATGCATTATTACTTGTATGACCTCAGGCAAGTTACCTGTGTGCTTTGGTTTCCTGTATAAATACAGAGTACTAATAACACTCATGTGAAGTTTTTACAGTGGTAACTCGCATGTGCTTAATAAATGTGATTTTTTTAAAAACAAAGATTTATTTGCTTGAAAGACGAGGTGGAGAAAGAAAGCTTCCACATGCTGGCATGCTCATGACATGGCTGTGATGCCTGGAGTTGGAGCTGGATTGGAAGCTACACAGCAGGAGCTTGAACTGGTGTTCCCATATGGAATGCCCATGTTTCAGTCGGTGGTGTTACTCATTCTACATCTTTCAATGCCTGTGCCTGAGTATGAACTCTGAAAGCTTGTCCTGGGGGCTAGAATGTGAAGGAAGGGGGTCAAAGTGGCCATGGCAGAGATGAAAGGAAATGCCATGTTTTAAAAAGTTTGTTTGAAAGAATTAACAGAAGAGAGAGAGTTCTTCCATCCATTGGTTCACTCCCTAGATGGCCACAATTGCCAGGGCAGTGCCAGGCTAGAGCCAGGAGATCCATCTGGGTCTTTCACATGGGTTGCAGTGGCCCAAACATCTGGGCCATCTTCTGCTGCTTTTCCCAGGCCATTAGCAGGGGGCTGGATTGGAAACGGAGCAGTTAGGCCATGATCTGGCTCCCACATGTGATTCTGTCTTTCCAGGTCACAGCTTTACATGCCACACCACTAGTCAGGCCCGTATTTTTGAATGCCTGTTCTTTGTCAAGAAGGGTAGGCATGTTGTATAGTCTTCATTTGTACTTAGTAGAATCCTGAGAATGTGTGAGGCTCAGAAAGATAAAAAATGACACACAGGATTGCCTCTGTGCACAATGGGCTTGGCACTCCCAAGTCTTTCCCATGGGTTCATCTCACCCATGGACAGCCATTCCCACCATATGAGTTTTTGTTAGGTGGCAAGATAGAGCCACAGGGGTCGAGAGAGAGGCAGGGAGAGGTGTGCCTTCCAACTACTGGGATACTTTACTTTCCAAATGGCTACAACAGGCAGGGCTGGACCAGTCCACTTCCAGGAGCCCGAACTCTACCTTTGTCTCTCCCATGTGGGTGACAGGGACCCCAGCACTGGGACTGTCATCCACTGCCTTCCCAGGAATTGGATCAGAAGTGGAGCAGGTGGGACCAGGACCAGTTGTCAGATACCAAGTGGCAGATTTACCTTAAACTGCAACTTTGGCCTCAGGTTGCTGTTGTTTTAGAGTTTTTTCCAGGAAATTAATTGTGCTACTTTTCTAACTAGGAAGAAGATTCTCTTCTGAATATCTGCAAGGAAATTGTGGAACGATGGTCAGAATCTCAAAGTGTTGTCACCAAAGTGAAAAAAGAAGGTAGAGTTGGAAATTCATGTGTGACCTTCAGGGCTTGTTCCAAAAGTTTTTTCTGTGATGATAGATCTTTTCGTTGTTGCCTTTGGATCCTCATTTTCTTGATTTTCTTAATTTGAAAGGCAGATTTATGAAGAGGAGGGCCAGTTTGAAGTTGGAGGCCTCTTCCAAGTTTTCCACATAAGTTCAGGGGTCCAAGGACCAGGGACACCTTTTTGCTGCTTTCTTACACACATTAGCAGGGAATTGGATCAGAAGTAGAGCAGCTGGAATGAGAGATGGCGCCCAATTGGGATGCTGGCACTACAGGCAGAAGCTTAACCTGTTAGGCCAGAGTGTTGGCCCCTTGATACAATTTTTTTTAAAGATTTGTTTTATTTTCATTGGAAAGTCAGATATACAGAGAGGTGGAGAGACAGAAAGATCCTCCGTCCATTGATTCACTCCCAAGCAGCTGCAATGGCCGGTGCTGTGCCGATCCAAAGCCAGGAGCCAGGAGCCTCTTCTAGGTTTCCCACATAGGTGCAAGGTCCCAAGGCTCTGGGCCGTCCTCGACTGCTTTCCCAGGCCACAGGCGGGGAGCTGGATGGGAATCAGGGATTCAAACTGACACTCATGTGGGATCTGGTAGATGTGAGGTGAGGCCGCTAGGCCAACACACCAGACCCACCTTTTTAAAGATTTTCTTGTTGGGCCCGGCACAGTGGCGCAAGTGGTTAAAGGTCCTCACCTTGCACTCCCGGGATCCCATATGGGCGCTGGTTCTAATCCCGGCAGCCCCGCTTCCCTTCCAGCTCCCTGCCTGTGGCCTGGGAAAGCAGCGGAGGACGGCCCAAGGCTTTGGGACCCTGCACCCGCATGGGAGACCCGGAAGAGGCTCCTGGCTTCGGACCGGCATAGTATCGGCCTGTTGCGCTCACTTGGGGAGTGAATCATCGGACAGAAGATCTTCCTCTCTGTCTCTCCTCTCTGTATATCTGCCTTTCCAATGAAAAAATAATAAAAATAAATCTTTAAAGATTTTCTTGTTAAAAATTTTTAATTTTTTTAAAAAAGATTAATTGTTAAGGATTTACTTATTTTTTTAAGATTTATTTATTTTTATTACAAAGTCAGATAGAGAGGAAGATCTTCCATCCAATGATTCACTCTCCAAGTGACCACAATGGCCGGTGCTGTGCCAATCCAAAGCCAGGAGCCAGGAACTTCTTCCAGGTCTTCCACACAGGTGCAGGGTCCCAAAGCCTTGGGCCATCCTCAACTGCTTTCCCAGGCCACAAGCAGGGAGCTGGATGGGAAGTGGAGCCGCTGGGATTAGAACCAGCGCCCATATGGGATCCTGGTGAGTGCACGCAAGGTGAGGACTTTTAGCTACTAGGCCATGCCGCCGGGCCCAGGATTTACTTGTTTTTATTTTGAAAGGTAGGTTTGTACAGAAAAGGAGATACAGAGAGAAAGATCTTCCACCTGCCGGTTCACTTCTAAAGTGGCTGCAATGACCAGAGCTGAGTTGATCCAAATCCAGGAGCCAGGAGCTTCCTATGGGTCTCCCATGTGTGTACAGGGTCCCAAGGCTTTGGGCCGTCCTCAGCTGCTTTCCCAGGCCACAGGCAGTGAACTGGATGAGAAATGGAGAAACTGGGACATGAACTGGCACCCAGATGGGATCCCAGTGCATGTAAGGCAAGGACTTTAGCCACTAGACTACTGTGCTGGGACTGTGAAATATTCTTTAATTTGGGGAATTTCATTTGGCATAGCTACGAGCACTCTAGCTTTCTTTTTCAAGTTTCTAGGAAAAGAGGGAGGAAAGTTGCATGTGTGGAGGCTTAATTTTCTGTGATTCTAATACAATGCCTTTAGCTTTTCATTAACGTAGCAGAACAAAGTGTACTGCTATAGTGTACACTGTTCTAGTCAGTGTACAAGACGGGATGAGCACAAGCCGTGATGCTTGGCACGTGTGGCCTTTCCTTGCCTTGCTTACTGGCCCTTGAGGCACCGCCTTCTGACCTGGGGCGGCTGCCGGTGGCCGTGGCACATGCCCTCCGGAAGGCTGGGGTGTGCTGAGCGGCTTGTCTCTGACACAGCCTGTTGTTTCTCTCCACCCCCTCCCAGACGAGGTCCAGGCCATCGCCACCCTCATTGAGAAGCAGGCACAGATCGTGGTGAAGCCCAGGCTGGTGTCGGAAGAGGCGAGACAGAGGAAGGCGGCCCTGCTGGCCCAGTACGCCGATGTGACCGATGAGGAAGAATATCCTTTCTGGGGGCTGGTTGGTTACCCATGATCTTTGGATCCATGTCTCTGTGTTCCCGGGTAAGAATGGGAAATGATACCAGAGTAGTTGACAATGGACTTAGTATTGTGGGACATCCTTGAAAACCATGGAGTAAAGCCAGGAGTGTGTTCCAGGACTGTTATGTACTTTGAGGTAATGAGATGTACCTATGGTCCCTTCTGTTTGCAGGACACTGTGTGCTATCATATCTGTCATTGGCTTTTATCATCTTTCCTGTATAGAAAGGAAGCCAAGTCACTAAGAATTGAGAATTAGTGGCAAAATTTGGACTAGATCCTGCATGTTCTGGAATGAAGGATCCCCTGAATTTTGGAGCAATTACATTTTAATTTTTTTTTAAAGGTTTTGTTTATAAGGCAGAGCTATAGAGAGATGGAGAGTTAGAGAGCGTGATCTTCCATCTGCTGGTTCACTCCCCAAATGGCTGCAATGGCCAAAGCTATACCAAGCCAACACCAGGACCCTGAACCTCCTTCGGGTCTCACGTGGTTGCAGGGACACAAGTACTTGGCCCATCCTCCACTGCCTTCCCACATACATTAGCAAGAAAATTGATCAGAAGTGGAGCGACCAGAACTTGAACCAGCACCCATATGGAATACCAGCATTGCAGGTAGGAACTTAAACTGCAGTGCCACAGTATCAGCCCCAAAGTATTTTTTTAAAGACTTATTTATTTATTTATTTATATTGCAAAGTCAGATATACAGAGAGGAGGAGAGACAGAGAGGAAGATCTTCTGTCCAATGATTCACTCCCCAAGTGACTGCAGCAGCCAGTGCTGCGCCAATCCAAAGCCGGGAAACAGGAACCTCTTCCGGGTCTCCCATGTGGGTACAGGTCCCAAAGCTTTGGGCCACCCTCAACTGCTTTCCCAGGCCACAAGCAGGGAGCTGGATGGGAAGTAGGGCTGCCAGGATTAGAACTGGCGCCCATATGAGATCCTGGCGTGTTCAAGGTGAGGACTTTAGCTGCTAGGCCACCATGCCGGGCCCGAATTTTTTTTTTTTTTTAATTAATAAGACTACACAGTTAAAGCTAAAACTGGGACCTGATATGATAGCCTAGTAGCTAAATCCTCACCTTGCAACTGTCAGGATTGCATGTGGATACTGGTTCATGTCCCTGCTGCTCCACTTCTCATCCAGCTCCCTGCTTGTGGCCTGGAAAAGCAGTGGAGGATGGGCCAGTATTTGGGATCCTGCACCTGTTGGGAGACCCAGAAGAAGCTTCTGGCTCTTGGCTTTAGATCGTCTCAACTCCCATTATTGTAGCCACTTGGGGAGCAAACCAATGGACAGATATGTCTCTCCTCTGTAAATCTGGTTTTCCAATTAAAAAACAACTAAAACTGATCCTGGTAAGCAACACTGTAATGAATATGGAATTTGAGTAGGAACTATACAAAAAGGTTGTATTACTAGTAGAAGTAGCTTTAGTCCCCTATAAATTTGAAATTAATATTTAAGAAGTACTTGGGTTAGTGATTCTGCTTGAATAAAAGGTTGTGGCATGTTACACAGTGCATGTCATCCTAGAAATGTCAGCTATCTGATCATGTGTTTAGGAACACTTCCTGAGGTTCTTTTTTTGTTGTTTTTAATTCTTTTAATAATCTTTATATAGTTGATTAGGGCACAAAGGGTCTATGGCTACAGGAAAGTGGGTAAGACCATTGTTTCCACATTAATATTATTCTTTCTTTCTGTATCTGCGTTAAGGAGAGAAACAAAGGGAGAAGCCCCACCCAGCCTCCCACCCATCCCAGGTCCCCGAGGTGGGGCATGCTCCGAGGGTCCTGCTCATGCAGTTTTGATAGTTTATCAGTTCTGATTTGATGCCAATCTCGCCATTCCCAGCATGATGAAATTCTCTTAGAATCCACTGGCTGACATAGTCTCTTCATGGTTGGGGTTCTGAGATCAGTTCAGTTGGAGGGATCCCCAGAGAAACTTCATCTGAGGTGATCCCAGACCTGATTCTTGTGTGTGAATGTCAGTACAGGGTCCTGCACAGTCCATCACCCTAATCAGCTTATGCACATGCTGGTGGTTACATTTGCTGGGTTATTCCTGTTTCCAGACCTGTCTTCCATGTGAACTAATGGGTGTTTCTGTCAAGCCTGATTCTGCCCACCTCACACTCGGCCCTCACATAAACCAGTGGGAGCTGCAGCCTAGTCAGGGCGACTTCCAATAACCCCCACTAGGCCTGCCCCGACCCTGGTTCCCGTACTTGCCGGTATGTACAGCAGACTGGTCTAGTCTGTCCCACATCCCATTCAGCTCTTATACATGTCAGTGGGCTTAGAAGCCTGGTTCAACCCAACCAGCCCACGCACATGCTGGCGGGTGCCTTTCTGTCTAGCCACCCCTGCCCCGGTTTTCATGCTATCTAGTGGGAGTGGTAGCCCAAGAGAGAGGTGCCCACTTTTTTCCTACTGGGCCACTCCCACTTCATGCTCTTTGCAGGTGGTTCTGTGGTTTAACTTGACAGAATTAGGCACTAAATGCCAGCCTCTGCCAGCTGATGCTGTGCCAACCCTCACCCTCTCTGATTTATGCTTGTACCAGTAGGAACAGTCAGCTCAGCCTGGCTTTCCCCTGATTTAGCTCACATGAGGCCCACAGGTGTTGGTAGCCCTGCCCATTCTCATCTGCCCCCATCCCAACCCACACTCTAGTGGGATTGGTGGTCCAGCGGGGAGCCCTCCACATTCTCCCTACTGGCTTTTCTCCCTCCCCCACTGGTTTTCATGTGTGCTGGTTGGGTGCTGCGGCCTTTGGAGCTGCTATGCCTGGCTTGCCCAATCCCCAGGCCTGGACCATGTGATCATCAGTGACAGTTGTGACCCACTAGGGGAGTTTTCCAAATTCCCCCAGTTGACCCACTCCCAGACCCAGATCTCATACATGCCAGTGGGTGTTAGACCAGTGCCCAACGTAGTCAGCCCTTGCATTTTGGCCTTGTATGCAGCCTGGCCATCCCACACCCTATTTTAGGATGCACATTTGGATGCTGCTGCCTTGACCTGCCCAGCCTATTCTCAGCTCCAGTGCCCGTGAGTATTTTCAAGTTCCATGTTTACTCCCTGTTCAGCCAGTCACCACCCCAAATCTTGAGCTTATCAGCAGGACTTATATTTCCATAGGAATGGGCCCACTTATTCCTTCATGGAATCTACCCCAGGCCTGGTTCTCTAGGGTGATGGTTAGTGGCATGGCCCTGCCTAATGTGACCTGTACCCTGTTTCAACACTCAATCAGGTACTTGGATCTAGGTCTGCTACAGGCCCCCAGCCATAGCTTTTGTGTGGTATGCCCATCTCAGGACTCCCATGTGGGCTGATGAACCAGTCTGACCCATACAGATCTTCCATTCACTCCCCTCTATACCAACAGGTCTCAGTCCCCTCACTTACCAGCCAGTACAGTCGCTCTGTTGATAGGTGTCCGTTAGCATTCATTCCTCAGTTACACCTCTGGTGTCTGTATCGCAATATTTTGTCACCCAGAGCTCATCAGCCAGGGGAGGGGGTTGTGGGGTTGTGGTGGGCTGCTTCCTCTGCTCATACTCTGACCATGAGGGTGTGCTGGCTACAGGTATCCCTGCGGGTCCCGGAAGCCTGCCGAGCCTCCCTCCCCCAAGGGAGCCAGTGTGCTCAGCCGCTCGTACCTTTCGCCAGGCACCTCCTGAGGTTCTTGGGTCAGTTTCTCTTTCAGGTTTCCTCATGCCTTTTCTTGTTCAAGTTGGCAGAGTTATGGTTCTGATGATTAAATCTTCATTCTTGAGCTAGAAAAGAACTATAAGACTGCCAGTTCGCTTGCAGACGCTGTTAAAGCAGATTAAAGCTGATTTGTTTCTTTTTCTTTTTTTGAAGATTTATTTTTATTACAAAGTCAGATATACAGAGAGGAGGAGAGACAGAGAGGAAGATCTTCCATCCAATGATTCACTCCCCAAGTGAGCGCAACAGCCAGTGCTGTGCCGATCCAAAGCCAGGAGCCAGGAACTTCTTCCAGGTCTCCCATGTGGGTACAGGGTCCCAAAGCTTTGGACCACCCTCAACTGCTTTCCCAGGCCACAAGCAGGGAGCTGGATGGGAAGTGGAGCTGCCAGGATTAGAACCTGGGCCCATACGGGATCCTGGCACATGCAAGGCAAGAACTTTAGCCTCTAGGCCACATTACTGGGCCCCTAAGCTGATTTCTTGACTTAACCTCCAGAGCAGGGCCCAAGATGGTGCCTTTCTACCAGATTCCCAGGGGTTCAGGGAGCCACACTTTGCCACCTTGATATCCTGTCTTTCAGGTCACATGGGAATCTGCCAAGGACAACCTGAAATTTTTTTTCAGCCTCCTTAAAAATTAGCTGATAGAAGCTCCATGTAATCTTCTCTAAATGTGTATCCCCAGAGCTGACCTGCTGGGTTTTTCAGCACCTCTCCAGCCGGGAACTCCCTCCCTCCCTCTTTCCCTCTTTCTCTCTCCCCCTCTCTCCCCTCTCCCACTTTCCCTCCCCTCCCTCCAATGCACTCCTCCCCCTACAGGTGTACTCAGTGTCTGGGTGTGTCCTTGGTGCTGGCTGTGCCTTCATTTGCCATGTGACTTTCCTTAACGTTCCCTCACCAACCCAGATGAGGATGACTTGGGCGCTGCCACCATGAACCTTGGTTCTGATAAATGTATCCTTCCTGTGTGTGTACCTGTGCAGTTTTCCAAGGGTGCCTCTTGGGGGTCTGTTTTTGTTGTTCTTTATATCCAGGCACTCAGGCCCTGCCAGCAGGGGGAGCTCCATTCCCAGGGTGTGGCCTCAGTCTGGGATTAGCTGGAGGGTCTCTAAGTCAGCCTTTGTACTCCCTGCATACAGCTTCAAGTTGCCAGCATGACAGTAATCACTGAAGGATAATGAAGTTTTGTCTTTGTTTTTAAAAACTTTACAGTTTTTTTAAAGATTTATTTATTTTTATTACAAAGTCAGACATACAGAGAGGAGGAGAGACGGAGAAGATCTTCCGTCCAGTGATTCACTCCCCAAGTGACTGCAAGGACCGGAGCTGCGCCAATCCAAAGCCAGGAGCCAGGAGCCTCTTCCAGGTCTCCCACATGGGTGCAGGGTCCCAAGGCTTTGGGCCGTCCTCAACTGCTTTCCCAGGCCACAAGCAGGGAGCTGGATGGGAAGTGGAGCTGCCGGGATCAGAACCGGCATCCATATGGGATCCCGGCGCATGCAAGGCAAGGACTTTAGCCACTAGGTTATAGCGCTGAACCCTGGAACGTGATTTTTATGTTTAAGTTTCTGTAGTCTTGAGTAAAGCAGCCTAATAGTTTAATAAGGTTAAACATGTTCGATCTTTTTAAAGTTTGAGAGTACCAAAAATGCAAAAATTTTGCCTGATGCTCACATTTCATTCCTTTTAACTAGTCTAGATGCTTGAGCAGTATTTTGCTATTGAATGATACAAATACTTATTCTGGAATGAAATCTCATTGTGATAAATATTTTCAAACACAGATTTAAGACTTAATAAATATTCTGAGGAATATTTTAGAATTTTTAAATGGTAGCTTTGTGATTTCCCAAAAACTAAAAACAGTAAACTGTTTTTTTAAAGGATTTATTATAAAAGGCAGATTTACAGAGAGGACAGATAGATGGATCTTCCATCTGCTGGTTTACTCCCCAGATGGCCATAATGGCTTGAGATGAGTTGATCCAAAGCCAGGAGCTTCTTCCTGGTCTCCCATGTGGGTACAGGGTCCCAAGGGTTTGGGACCTCCTCTACTTTTTCTCAGGCCACAAACAGGGAGATGGAGGGGAAGTGAAGCAGCCGGCACACAAATAGGCACCCATATGGGATTACTGCATGTACAAGGCGAGAACTTTAGCTACTAGACTTTTGTGCCGGGCCCCAAGGTTTTCTTTTTTTTTTTTAATAGGAGAAGAGAGCAGTTAGGACTCAGCACATGGTGAGAGGAGAGCCAGGATGAGTAGACAGAGCCATGACTTTGTGTGACCTGAACTTGATTCCCTTAACACATCTGCAGCTCTGTTCCGAAACACCAACGTGGAAGACGTCCTCCATGCCCGAAGACTGGAGCGAGACTCGCTTCGGGATGAGTCTCAAAGGAAGAAGGAGCAGGACAAGCTGCAGAGGGAGAGGGACCGACTGGCCAAGCAGGAGCGCAAGGAGAAAGAGAAGAAAAGGACACAGCGAGGAGAGCGAAAGCGATAACCTTGGCCCACTCTGGGCTTCCCACCGTGAACTTGACCAGAGGGAGAAGTGGTTGTACATACAGGGACTCGAGAAAAACTGAGGACGCCGTCAAATGGCTTTGCAAGGCACTTCTCCCTTTGTGGACACGATGGAAAGGACATTCAGACTCACCTCCCATTCCAGAATGTGCCATGTTTGGGTGGTGTGGGCAGCCCCGTCCTTACAGTTGATATCTGTACCAAAGATCTGGAATAGGGACAGCGTCTCTGTTTTAATGCTGACGTCCTGTGCTCCTTTGCCTACCTTAAAAAGTCTTCCTTCACCTTGGGCACGTGGCAGGGGGGTCCAGAAAACCAATGATGCCCGCTTTCTTCTGAAGGAGCAGTCAGGAGCACTCCGCCCTGCTGGGGTGTGGGCGGGAGTGCGAATGACCCCACACGGCCTCACCCCCAAACATGGTTTTATGGCTGAACTGGCAAATGAGCAGCGCACCCCACCCCCACCCCCCGGTCCAGAGTGAGTGTGTGTTTCATGGCAGTAGTTAGGAAGATGGAAATCACTGGAGGTGTTTTAGATTTTTTTCTTTAATGGTTTCAGCCTGTGGAAGAAAATGGTATCTTCTCATGTGAGACAGTTACATATTTTTGCCCATGTAGGCTGTGACTTTGTTCTAAGAAGGCTGTGTTGTTAGTTAAAATTTTCTGATTTGCCATAAAGTATATGAGTATTAGTCATTCCTGATTTTAGGGAAATTGGCAGAGTTGCCCTTTTAAAGGGAGGGGGGAACACTGACATGTCTGCTAACAAGGATATTTAAGAGTGTACGCAGCAGATGCTCATCAGACTGAACAGAGTGAATGGCAGACCTGCTTGGAAGTCAGAAGTGAGCGGGAGCGCTCCGTGTGTCTCCACTTGTCCCAAGCTAGGAGCCGGGAGGGCCTAGCTTTGGTTCAGGCAGCATCCTGCCTGGAAGCCTGAAGCCAGCAGTTTCTCTGGTTGGACAAAGTAGATTTTTTTATGCCAGGGGTCAGCAGCAGACTGTCACCCACAGGCTAAATTTGACTGTTTTTGTATGGTATAGACTAAAAATGGATTTTACTATTTTTAGAGGAATATAAAAGAAAGAATACATAAAAGAGACCATACGTGGTCCTGAGACCTAAGCTGTTTATCATCTGGCCCTTTGGAAACAAAATGTGTTTACTTGTGTTTTATATCATTAACTACCAAAAACTTAACCTTTGTGTAGAAGGTTAAAAAAAGCATGGTTAAGAAAAGGAGATGTGTGTTATCTCTTCAAACACTCCTATAACCGTGGCATTTCAAAAATTTTTCTAAAAACCCACCTTTTCAAAACAAAATAAACTAATTTTAAGTCAACCACCTTCTGTTTTAATCTGATTCCTTCCAGCTTCCCCCAGAAGGTCCATGTGGAAAGTCACTGTGGAACATATCTTCAATCTATGCCTTTTTTATTTTTCAGCTTTTTTTTTAAATAGATTTATTTTTATTGGAAAGTCAGATATTCAGAAGGAGGAGAGACGGAGAAGAAGATCTTCCATCTGCTGATTCACTTCCCAAGCAGCTGCAATAGCCAGAGCTGCACCGATCTGAAGTCAGGAGCCTGGAGTGTCTTACACGTCTCCCATGCTTTGGGCCATCCTTGACTCTTTCCTGAGCCACAAGCAGGGAGCTGGATGGAAAGCGGGACCACTGGGATTAGAACTGGCACCCATATGGGATCCTGGCACATACAAGATGAGGACTTTAGCTTGCTAGGCCACCACACTGGGCCTCTATGCTTTTTTAAAAAAATTAATTGAAGGTAACAAAGGGAGAGACCCACATCCATCCACTGTTTCACACAAATGGCTCCAACAGCTGGGACTGGACCAGGCTGAAGTTAGGGGTCAGGAACTCCCCATGGAGGTCATGGGCTAAATGCCTTCCAGGCGCATCAGCAGAAGATGGATCTGAAGAGTAGGCAAGATTTCATCAGAGCGAGGCTCATAATAGTATGTAGTGTTTCAAACAATGGCTTAACCAGCCAGATCACAACACCCACCTCTAAAGCCTATAGTCTACTAATGGAGCCTCTTTTCCTTTAAATCCATAAATTCTCTTTCCTTTTTTGCAAAGTTGAAATTAGGAGAACATGCTTGTTGAAGTATCAGAAGTACTGGTGGAATCAGTCCTTTATTATGATGATAGCAATAGGCTGTGGCTATGGATAGGATAGGGCAGAGTTCATTTTAGTTAGGTAATCTTTTTTTTTAATTTGTTTAAATATTTTATTATTTGAAAGGCAGAGTTACAGAGAGGAGAGACAGAAGTATCTTCCATCCACTGGTTCTCTCCCTAAATGGCTGGTTTTTTTTTTTTTTTCTGCATATTTTCTTCTAGTGTTTTTTTTTTTTTAATAATCTTAGTTGATTAGGGTACAAAGGGTCACGGGCAACAGGGTGAAAGTGGGTAATATCATTGTTTCCACACTAATATAATCATTTTGCCCTGTATCTAGGGTTAGGGGAGTAACAAAGGGGAAAGCCCCACCCTACCTCCCACCCATCCCCCATCCCCAACATGAGGCGCTCTCCAAGGGTCCTGCTCATACAGTTTTGATAGTTCATCAGTTCTGGATTGCTGCCAATCTCTCCGTCCCAACCGTAATGAAACCTATTCAGAGTCCACTGGCTGACAGTCTCTTGATGGTTGGGGTTCCAAGATCAGCAGTTCAGTTCGAGAAATATCCAAAGAAACTTCATCTGAGTTGATCCAAGATCTGATTCTTGAGTGAGTTTGCTAGTACAGACTCCAACACTGTCCGTCACACCAATCAGCTTATGCATATGCTGGTCGTTGTGATTACTGGGTCCGTTCGGCTTCCAGCCCTGTCTTCCTTGTGAACCAACGGGTGTTGTAGTCCAGCTCGATTCTACCCACTTCATACTCGGTCTTCATGCAAACCAGTTGGAGCTGCAGCCTAGTTGGGGCGACTCCCCAAAACCCCTACCAGTTCTGCCCCCTACCCTGGTTCCCATGCTTGCCAGTATGCACTGCAGGCTTGTCCAGTCTGTCCCACATCCCAAGTAGCTCTCGCACACGTCAATGGACATTGAAGCCTGGTTCAACCCAACCAACCTGTTATCCAGCCCATACACCCACTGGCAGGTGCCTTTCTGTCAAGCCACCCCTGCTCCTAGCCTGGGTTTCGTGCTGTCCAGTGAGGGTGGTAACCCTGAGGGAGGTGCCCACTATTTCCCTACTAGGCCACACCCACTCCTAGAGTATGCAGTCTCCAGGTAGTTTTGGCATTTGACTTGTCAGAATTGGCTCCTAGTACCAGCCTCTGCCAGCTAACGCTGTGGCTAAGCCCAAACACCCCTCAACCCACTCTAATTTTAACTTGCACCAGTCAGAACAGTCAGCTCACCGTGAGGCCCACAGGTGCTATAGCCCTGCCTAGTCTGAACTGCCCCCATCCATATTCACACTTTCCAATGGAAGTAGTTATCCAGCAGGGGTGCCCACGTTCCCCTGTTGGCTTTGCCTCCTCCCTGATTGTCACATGTGCTGGTTGTGTGCTGCAGCCACATCTGGTACGGCTCATCTCACCTTGGCATTACTTGTTGTGTACTGGTATGTGTTGCAACCGAACCTGGCTCGACCCACACTCTGTTCTGGTGCTTGGATTCACCAGAAGGTAATGTGAACAGATTCAGGCTGGTCTGCCCCCAACCCATGCCATGTGTATGCCAGTGGGATAATTTCCATTGCCTGTTTTGGGTTGTTCCCTATTGTGCTTCTTGCGCTTACCTGCATGGAACTGTGTCCTGCCAGAGAAGTTGCCCGGGCTCCTCCACCAGAACCTGTCCCAATGCCAGTTTTCGCGCATACCAGTGGGTCCATGAGCCAGCACTACTCAGTTCACCTGCTATCCTAGGAGGAACAGTGGCTTTTCCTGCCTGGCCTCCGACCCAAGCTGGTTCTTGTTGTTCCTAAATGGCTGTTAATGGCAGTAGCTGGGCTAGCCTAGAGCCAGGAGGCAGGAGCTTGTTCCAGGTCTTCCACATGGGTGCAGGGTCCCAAGAGCTTGAATCCTCCTCTGCTGCTTTCCCAAGCCATAAGCAGGGAACTGGATGGGAAGTGGAGCAGCTGAGTCATGAATAGGCTGCCATATGGAATGTCAGTGTGATAGGCAGAAACAGCCTACTCCATTATGTAACTTTTTTCCTCCCTTTTCTTAATTTAATAACTCTTATTTTGGTTTGTTTCCACCTTCATTTTAGTCTCTGAAGGAATAAGGTTTTTATTCATGGACCCCTGAAAGGTGCTTTTGTTTCAGTTGGTTAGCAGTCAATTTTTTCTTCTGGTATGCCATATGTTAAGTGTACCTTCTCAAACTAACAGAAAAATTAGCTCATTAAGCTTTGAGAAAAGTTAACTCAAGTGCTAAAAATCCTTTATATATAAGATGTTTACTATTCCAGGGAGAGTGTTTAGCCTAGTGGCTCTGCTGCTGATCAGGACTCCAGCATCCTGCATCCTAGATTTTGGTGCCCAGCTCCAGCTCTTAATTCCAGCCTCACTGCTGATGTGGATCCTGGGAACAGCAGTGACGGCTCAAGTGGCTGGTTTCTGCCACCCAGGTGGGAGTTCTAGATTAAATTTCTGACTCCTTACGGCTGTCGAGGCATTTTGGGCACCCAGCAGATGAGAGTTCTTTTACTTTGTTCTCAAATGTAAAATATGCTGTATTCCCAAAGACAATTTTTAAGTAACCACATTTTTAATGCTAAGCTTGAGTTTTTGTGGCTGGTGTGGTGGTGTAGCAACCTAATCCTTTCTGCAAACATTGGCATCCCATATGGGCCACTGGTTCATATTCCAGCTGCTCCACTTCCCATCCAGCTCCCTGCTTGTGGCCTGGGAAAGCAGTTGAGGATGGCCCAAAGCTTTGGGACCCTGCACCCAACGTGGGACACCTGGAAGAAGCTCCTAGCATCAGATCGGCTCAGCTCTGGCCATTGTGGCTATTGTGAGAGTAAACCAGCTGACAGAAGATCTTTCTGTCTTTATCTCTGTAGATCCTGCTTTTGCAATAAAAATAAATACATCTTTTAAAATTTATTCTGGCTTGTGTTGGATTAGCATAATAAGGGGAGAACACAGTTTTATCTTTGAAGTTAGATCCAGGGATAGCTCTGAACAGCACTGATTAATCTACGAGCAGATTTCTATGAGTTAAGTGAGATGAAACTGGGGCCGGCATTTTCCCTGCTAGTTAAATCATTGGTTAGGATGCCTGCATTCCACATTGGAGTATCTGGGGTTTGGTTCCCAGTGCTGCCTCCTGATTTCAGTTTCCTGGTAATGGAGACAGACCTTGAGACAAAGCAGCAGTGATTCCTGCTACCTACAGGGGGGGACCTGAATTCCCGACTGTGGCTTTTGTCTCAATGGATAGCATATCCTACTACCTCCCACCTCAACCTGTGAGTTTCTCAAAAAATGAAAAAAACATTTTTTTTTCAACAAAGTAATTTATTTTTTTTCCTGAGAGAATAAATTCAGTACAATATTTGTTTTCATAACATCCAACATATCCTATGTAAAACTTAACCATGTTCTATGCAGTGACTGTGATGGGGTGATCTAGTTTATTTGACTACCCTCAATGTAATTTATTTGGGTAGCTCTATGGCATTTCAGTGATCAAATGTTTCTCCCTACAGTTACTCCTGCAT